ATATATTCTACTTTTGGGGCCTGCCACTCTGCTGGGGGAGGGGGAGCTTTGTATTAGCTTTGGATAACTTTCGTTTTCTACTCTCACTTGCTGCCTCCATCCCTTTGAGAAAGGAACGTGTCTCCCTTATCAGGGAGATGGTTACAAAGAAACGAAACTGAAGAAGACCTTGAGATGCATGCCAACTGTGCCAGGTACCCACACTTCAGACCACCTGTGGAATGGCTGGATTTCAAATGGACATTATGACTGGTGGGAAGAGGAAGATTGCTTGCTTAACTATACTATTTCAGTGGGCTTTTCCTCAGATCTTGCCTTGACTTCCCTACTGTCACTGACCCCTAATAAAAGTATCCTTTTGAAACAATGCCTGCTTCAAGAGTTCTGCTTTCTTGGATGGTTAGTTGAAACATTTTTCCTAAAAAAGCTTTTTGTGGACATAGCAACAAAATGTAACATGGCTATACTATAGTTTTGGATTTTGTGTGTGTGTGTGTATGTGTGAGAGAGAGAGAGAGAGAGAGAGACAGACAGACAGACAGTCACTACTGGGGATGGAAAATTCATTTTGCACTCCTGTCCTACTGGCTTAATATAGAACCAAGCATAGAAGTCCTTTTGAAATTTTCCACCAACTTCTAGACCACAGAAATTAGGTGTATAGTTTCTCCAAAGTTCTTCATGGAAGAATCTGCAATGAGTTTTCCCAAGCTTTTTGGGGGGACTGACTTGAAACATCAGATGCCAAAAAGATTCCAGTCAGTTGGAGAGATGATTGTATGATGAAATGAAATTGACCTGGTCCATCTTAGCTACCTAGACATAATAACACTCTACTCATTAGCACTTCACTATATTCTCTTCTCCTTGAAAAGTAATTAGAAAGGAAATTCATTTTAATCAAACAAAGCAGAGGAGGAAAAATCAGGAAAATGTATTTGCCAGCCACTAATTTCACATTTGTTTTAATGAGCTATTCTCATTCAGTTAAAAAAAAAAGGCTATTTCCTATATCACACTAAAGAGTTATGCATTTTATATGAGGCTCCAACAGACTTCAACAGAATGTGGGGTTGCTTTACAATTGTTTGGAAGCTACAGCTAGTAGTGCATCCAAAGGACTTTCTGCTTAGGTTCTTCAATTTATTCCAGAAGCAATTCCATTCCCCATGTATACATTACAAAATACATGCAAATTTCTTACATATTAACTTTTTCTATTACATTTTCATCAAAGCCCATTAAATCTGGATTTAGAACTTGACTTGGCATAACTCTGGTATATGTGTGTATTGAATCATATCAAGACCAGCATGCAGGAAGACTTGTTGGTTACACTTCTCCTGCTGAACCTTTTGCATAAATGAAATTGTTTCCCTAAAGTAGCCCTTTGCCCTACAAAGTAACAGATATAGGTACAAGTGTGGACAATATGTTGCAATGAACAGTGCTAATATCCATCTTACTGTACGAATCAATCTTCACGCCATGTCAGTCTAAGATGATGGATTTCATTTTCTACTATTCCCAGCTGTCATCAACTTTGGTGGTTGAAATCTAGCATACCTGAAAGAAAAATGCTTTTGCAAACCTTCACATTAATTTGCCTGAAGTTGGACAAGCTGAGCCTTGAGTAGATTCTTAAAAATCTCAAATGCAATCCTAACCCTCCAAACAGTTGCCAAATTGTAATTTTTAACATAATTGAGCAGCATTATAGTCTTATGAAAGAAGCTTAATTTTAACCAAATGAAAATGAAATCTAAGCTTGGCCCTGGTTCCACCCTCTGCTGAACTGTTTGTGGAGTGACACATTATCCTATGGTTGATTAAAATCATTGTAAAAATACTTATTTTCAATATTAGAAGCATGTGAGTTATTAATACCAATTATTGAGGTCAATGTGTGAAAGTCTGGACCACAGATGTTCTCATTGCTAGTTACATCGGGGTTGACAACAAAATTGAAAGTAATAATACGTTCCTAGGGAAGCCATTTAAAGCAGATGTTTCCTTCCATGGAGACCCTCTCTAGGGAAGCATATGAGAAAGATGCAGAGCTCCTGCTCTTAAACTCGACTGTTTCTCAGTGTAGAGACACTTTCTGATTTTGAGAAAGCTTCTCTTCTGCTTTATTGTGCTCCTCCCTCAACCTCTCCAATACCTGTTTGACTAGCTTTGAAGGGATACCAACATGGTTTGGCAAATCTAGCAGGAGTTTAAGGCTTTGAGAGGTGTGTTCTCATGCTTTGACATGAGCAGTTGAACAGGAGATGGTCAAAAATTCAAAAATTCAAGATTGATGGATGATTTCCTGTCTGGTGGCATTCTGAAAGCAAGCAGATAACAAGAAAGAGTATTTTACCAATTGCTTTGTACCACCATGTGGCAGCAAAGTAAAATGAGGACAATAGACGTAAGATAGGGACAGGCAAGAAGGTCAGCAAATTTTAGGTCAGTGTATTTTCCTTTAGTGCAAGAATGGGTGGATTCAGCATGGTGGAAAAATTGATAACTGTAAAAATATCTTCTACAAGACTATTCAGAACTTCTAAAAACCTGCTGCCTGCTTCTGATTGATTCATTATCAAAGGGAATTGTATAAGAAACCTAGGATGCTTAGGATCCAGAAATGTTGAGTTTAATTGGAAAGGAAAAATGGGGCTAGTTAACAGGAATTATGAATAAGATGAAGTGCTAAGAAAATAGCTCATGGACAACTTTGACAAAATGATGGCCATTGAGTCAGTGAGAGACAAAAGCGACTGAAGAACTAAACAACTTCCCATGTTTATTTTCCAAGCTCCCTTGCATTTCTCTGGCCCTTTACAGAAATAAAATTGCCGCTGGAGTGATAATTACATTTTTTTTATTTGGTGGAAAACATATTTCATGACACAATATACAATATAATAAGCAATGGATGGAAACTAATCAAAGAGAGAAGCAACCTAGAACTAAGGAGAAACGTCCTGACAGTTAGAACAATTAATCAGTGGAACAACCTGCCTCCAGAAGCTGTGAGGTTTTTAAGAAGAGACTGGACAGCCATTTGTCTGAAATAGTATAGGGTTTCTTGTCTGAGCAGGGGGTTGGACTAGATGGCCTCCAAGGTCCCTTCCAACTCTGTTATTCTGTTATGACTGTGCAAATATATTTATGATAGCTTGTGTGCAAATCAGCCATTGTGATTTATTCAACAAATCTTGATTAAAAATATTTGACCCATTAGTATATGTATGTGCACAGCTATTTTGTTATCATTAAGTAACTGAGACTTAGAGAACCTTGTTGACGTACAATGGATCTCTTAGCTATTTGTCATTAAATCTCAATATACTTTCAGGATACCAGAGTTAAGATAGAAGATTATATAATCTGAAGCACCATGCACCTGAATGACTCCAGATTAGACAAGACTGTTTAAAATGTTCATATCTTTATACCTGAAAACATGTGAACAATAAAGGTTATAAATTAGGAATTAATGGGCAACTTAGATGTGGTTGATCTACAATTCCTACCATAGTCACCAGGAAAGAAAGATTCTGGGAGATAATTCAGCAACTCTTACAGTGCTATATCCCTGCTATGAGAATCACAACGTCAACAGATTATCATCCTGAATTTCAATTCATTCTTTTGAACATTTCATGAAATACTTTATTTCAGAACAAATACAGTTTCAATGTACAGTAGCTACAAATTCAACATGATTATATATATGGAGGGATGAATTTGTAATGCCAAAACACTAGGTGGTTCTACTGAATAGATAGGCTGTGTCCATCCCATTACTTTTCTGAACTCTACATGGAGAATATTAAAAAATACAAAATTCTAGGATTAATAACATCTAATTAAATAAAATAGAATTTTAACATATATATAAGTTTTATTTAACATGTGCTAAGCACAGTTCAAGACCTTTGTTACAAAATAATATATAATAATTTTGGAATTTAGAGAACTGATTGATTCCTAAGTGAGCAAGATACAGCATAGTAGTTCTATGGGAAAAAGACATTTTCTACAAAAAAAAAAAAAAAAAAACTGTTTTCAAAGCAATAGACCATTAAAAAAATTACTTGTGTTCATGAGCATTTGTGAGTATATTTACAAACATATATGTATGCAAATCAAGTAAAACAATAGAAACAACACAAATATTCATAATTCATAGTTTCAGTGGCAAACAAATCCACTCAAAGAAATACAGATTTACAGTTGAGTTAAGACAGCATTTAAAATAGTAACACTTGTAATTGAAACCCTTAGTTGGTCTCTGATAAAACATAGCTATCTTGCTCTGCCTTCCACTCACCTTCCTGTTAGGTGGAGCAATTGATTATATGTATATTGCCAATGTAATAGAATTCAGATAAAAAGAATCACTGCTTTTAGACTCTTCTCTAGATGCTAGTGGATTACTGAGGGGAAAAAAAAATAATCTGGCACTTCTCAATTCACACTTTTACTACATTCAGGGCTAGCCACACCAATAAGAAAAGTTCTGTTGGTTTCTGTTGGCTGATGTCATGGAACTATATTGCCAGTACTTCCAGATCCTTCCCTATGCCCCATAACTATCTCTCCCCCCCACACACTATTCCCATTAGCAATCACTTGCATTAACTTCTATAGACAGAGCAGGTGGAGAGTAATCAGTTTATTAGACAACCGAACTACTGAAGCATCTCTAGGGGTATATTATAGAGAGTCCTCAACTTATAACAGTTCATTTATTGATTGTTCAAAGTTACAATGACATAGAGAAAAAGTGACTTATGACCATTTTTCACACTTATGACCGTTGCAACATCTCTATGGTCATGTGATTTATATTCAGATGCTTCACAACTGGCTCATATTTATGATGGTTGCAGTGTCCCAGGGTCATGTAATAACCTTTTGCAACCTTTTCACAAGCAAAATCAATGGGGAAGCCAGATTCACTTAACAGCCGTGTTACTAACTTAACAACTGCAGTGATTCACTTAACAAGCGTGATAAGTAAAGTTGTAAAATGGAGCAAAACTCACTTAACAAATGTTTTACTTAGCAATATAAATTTTGGGCTCAATTGTGGTTGTATGTTGAGGACTAGCTGTATAACTTTAGCTCCCTATCACGGTGAATAAGAACTGAACATGTATGGGTCTGAAGTATTCCTCATGGTAGGGCTGCTTACTGAGTACCAGACTTTGTTAAAAGGGCCTTATGGGTAAACAGTTGCACAACTGATTATCTTTATCTGGCAGGAAAGTAAATGCTTGGAGCTGAGACAAAATGTGTTGTAACTTGAAGGTGTTAAGCTTGGAAGTCATAGCAAGAGCAGTTGTCTTCTCCTTTTTGTATATTCACTGTGCAATCTGAATAGGATTTATGCTTACTCTCATGTTCAAGCCAAAAGGAACCTATACAATGGTTAGGGTGGTATTCCTGTGACAGAAGAGCAAGGATTCCAGAACAAAGGAGTTCATCTAAAGATTTCCCAAGTATTTGAACATCTTTGAATTCCCTACTAAAATACCATAGAAGACATACATGATTTTTCTTTCCAGAAATATTTTTTTTTTGAAAAGGATATCTAATATCTGATGCAGATATTTGATATTCACATAGACATATATTCAGGCACATATGTACAAACATACTAATTGAGCCCCATTAATTGACTAGAGCTGGCATCTTATGCAAACCAAACTTTAATCTGTAACACATTAGTCTTTATCACTGAAAATGAAGTTCCACTTAAAACCATACTTTTACTTAACCTCTTATCTTTTTTTTTTTTAATGAAATAAGCTAATTATGGTTTTGGGATAAATTCACAGCAGATTTTTTCCTTTGAGTATCTACTGAAAAGGGAGTATGGAAAATTTCCATGGTTGTCATTGATGATGCTGAGCTAGGTCTTCGAAAAACTCTGCCAAAGTAAACTTCCTTGCATTTCTTTCGGAAATGTTTACCCACGATGACATAGACTATTGGATTAAGACAACTATTGATGAAACCACAATAGACGCCAATCTGGCTAGCCACAACAACAGCGTGCTCTACATCACAATCAGAAATGATACCTATTTGAAATAACATGTCTATGAATGTGGTGATTTGGAATGGAAGCCAGCAGATGATAAACAGAAGAAGGACTGCAAGAACCAATATGGTGGCTTTTTTCTCAGTTTGAATGGTTCTGATCTTTTGAGTGTCACGGTTTTGTAAAGTGTGGATGATTTGAACAGAACAGTAGGTAATGATACAGACTGGTATCAGAAAGCCCACTGTGTTCAGCAAAACGGCCGTGATAACTGTCCACCAAAAAACAGATGGATACTCCAAAATACAGGCCAGGGCCTCATATGCATTCACATCCTTTAATGACCTGAATGCCAGAGTAGGAAAGCAAAGGAAAAGGGCAAAAATCCAAATCACAAGACAAATCCATTTGGCATACATTGGTTGTCTCATGCGTCCCAGAGACATTGTTTTCACCAAGGCCAAGTAGCGATCAATGCTCACCATGACCACAAAATAAATGCTTGAATATAAGTTGATAACAAGGAATGAGTTGATGATTTTGCAGAGGATGAGCCCAAAGGGCCAATGGAAGTTGTTGGCTGTATTGATAGCCCAGAAAGGCAATCCACAGAGCAACAGAAGGTCTGCTGCTGCTAAATTTGTCAGGTAAATTTCAGCCACAGTGGAGCGGCTCTTATGGAAGCACCAGACACTGAGAACAAATATATTCCCCACTGTTCCGGCTATAGTAAGAAACCAGAGAAAGGCAGGCTGAATACGTAACAACCATTGCCAGTCTTCCGGCCAAGGGCAAGATGTGTTTGTTTCATTCCAGCTGACTGTTCCATTAGGAAGGGCCATACCATGCTCACCCAATATAGGCATTGCTTCAGTGCTGGAAAGTAAAAAAAGAAGAAGAAGAAGAAGAATATTAGATCCTTGTTCAGTGCAATATCTAAAAATCAAATCTTAAATGAAAACTAAGGATGGAATTCAGTTCTATTAGAAGAAATTGTTTGGAGCAAGTAAAACAATTATATATCCAAGGAACACTGCAAGATGCTAAAGAAAATATTACAGAGAAGTGTTCTTGCTAACAGCAATTCCTACATTGATAGTATATCAGTGAAGTCAAATGTACAAGGCAGATATATGCAGAAATTAAAAAATCTTTCTATCTACCTGCAAAACCTCAGTAGCACTAACGTAATGTTGGGTTTAGCTGCTCCAAATTAGTGTTAAGGCTTTATTGATGACTCTCCTTTAGTCAGCTTGTTCATTTCCAGCTTATTCTCTGTTGCAGGGTTGTTTTGAAGAGAAACTTAAGAATTGCCAAATACTTTGAAACTGACAAAATTCTGGTGAATTGCTGAATGAATTGGGGATATATTGTAGATATTTGCAGTCACCCTGGGAGTATCCACATCAGTAGTGTCCTACCTTAGCAACTTTAAGACTTGTGGACTTCAACTCCCAGAATTCCCCTGCCACCATGAGTCTTAAAGTTGTCAAGGTTGGACACCCAATCTACATCATCATAAACAAATTATTCTTTGAATATAAGTACAAGATTATTCATGTTTTCCTATTTTCATATACACACACATACCATTACCCCACTATTATGTTGTGGTGTAGTCATGGTCTTTTAGGAGACCAAAATACTCGTATTGAGAAATAGCTTGACAAGTATGTTGTATGGAGGAAGGATTGAATAAAGCAAGAGTGCTGGAAATGTTCCATTCTGCTTCTCCATTCCACTCTGCACTCTCTTCTCCATCTCCATGAATAGAATCTGTTAGCTGGGCAACTTGACTGATGAATAAACATACTATTCTCAGTGTATGATTAGATTTGCCCAAACCTATCCCACATTACAGAAAATGATTGGTTTCCTGCTAGTTGGTGAAAGGTGTGTGTGTGGGGGGGAAAGCTGGGGAATCTGCTAGTCACTTTTCTTAAAACAGTTGATAGCCTTTTTAATTTGATGAACTAAGGCTGGATAATTGGCTAGGATATTTTATGCAGATGTACTTTCAGGGACAGGTGAATAGTGGTCAGTGTCACCAGTTTGGAGATGAGTTAGCTCAGTCATTTGTGAATTGGTAGTTAAAGACTTATAAGGAGAAAACAGATAGTAGCTGTCCAGCCATAAAAATGTGTGCAGAATATTGCTTTGAAGTCTGACTTGCTTTGCTCTGGGGAACATAAACCAGAGACATTCTTCTTGTATAATGTGTTGTTTGGGGAGTGAGGAAGAAGGAGAGAGATTTTGAATTGAAACTATCCCAACTGCCATAAACCCATGGGGGTTCTAATTTTGAGTGCTTGTTTGGCTTACATTTAGAAAGGAAAATGTAAGTCAAATTAGAACTCTAAATTCTTGGCTTTACATGTTGCATAATTAATGGAAGGGGTTATTTTCCTAAATGTTTAAATTAGTTGAACAGAAATATTTAACTAGAGAAAATAAGTCTAGTAAAATGCACTTAAAATATGCTTCACTGTCACGTCACTTCACTGAATCTTAGATTATCTATATAGATATAGATAGATTATATTGATATATAGATGTAGATATCTCAGCAGCATATCTCTGATGTACATTGTGCTGAGTTACTCCAAGGTAGCATGGATGGCTTGCTACCTGAACTCAATGAGACTTATTTTGCAGTAGACAGGAATAGAAAATATTACCATGTGGTAAAATCCTACAGGGCTTCAGCCGGCCATACCCTCTGTAAGAATGTCCGTTCCATGCCCACCTAATCATGCATCCAAAATAGCAGCATCCATGCACCAGTAGAAGATTATGAAGAGGCTTAGATAAAGCAGAACTGCAGAAAAACAAGTGAGGTGACCTAATAAGAGCTGGACGTGGATTATAATATGGAAACTGGGTTTATCTTTGAGGAAAAGTGACATGTGGGTTGAGGAGGATAAAGGAGTAATGCATTCTTGACAAGGGTAAGATTTCAGCCCTGAGCAAGTGCATATGCTGGCAATGTTTCATGACAAATTCTGCTAGTAAGTGACATTGTACAACAGGGGTCCTCAAATTTGGCCACTTTAAGACTTGTGGACTTCAACTCCCAGAATTCACCAGCCAGGGAGTTGAAGTCCACAAGTCCCCAGCCAGGGAGTTGAAGTCCACAAGTCTTAAAGTCCACAAGTCTTAAAGTCTTAAAGTGGCCATGTTTTAGGACCCCTGTTGTACAAGGAGGTCAGCTTCAGGGATTCCTCTGTTATTGTGGGAAGTCATTCTTTCTCATATATTTATAGCCACAGAACAATAGAAAAGGAAATGGAGCTCATGGTTGGATTTCCTGCCACTACGCTGCATAATATTGTGATAACTTCTCAGACAAAATATTCAAAGATTTATTGTAGAATCAAGGAAAGGGATTTTCACCTAACCCAGTCAACCAAACTTTAATCTGCAGCAGAACAGTACAGATTTTCCAACTGTGCAGTGATTAGCTGGCCTTTAGTTAGGGAAATATATTTCAAGGAATTTTTCTTGGTTTATGGTTAATAAGCAGTATAGTTTATTTCTAATTAAATTTTAAAGGATTTTTTTTCTTAACCATGTTATAAGCGCAACTTACCAGAGAAAACCCCTTCATTTTACCTTCCATCTGTCTGTGGTATCCCTATCTAGCATTGCTGTTTTAAAGCTGTTTTTTTTTTATTATGAAGTAGCATTCAATTTACACTAATTACAAAAAGTACCAATGGCATCAGTGAAAAAACAACAGGTAGTTAAAATGTAAACATAAATTCTATGAATTGCATAGAATATACTCAGAACGGTACCCATACATTCTGGAAACATATTCTTTAGTGAGGCAACATGTGAGTATAATACATCCATGCATTTAGTATATTACAGATTCTTCAGGTTTTATCTGAATTCCTAACAGCTTGAAGGTGAGCAGAAGACAAGGCATATACACTGATATGCCTTATTCTCTCTAACATGTGGGAAATAGAAACTCTCTCTCTCTCTCTCTCTCTCTCTCTCTCTCTCTCTCTCTCTGTGTGTGTGTGTGTGTGTTGTGTGTGTAAGCCTTCCTAAGAGCAGGACCTAGCCTGGGATCAGTAGAATAGGTTTTATAGGCATAACAGAAAGGAGATTTATTTACAGGAAATACATTGAAATGAAGAGCTGTATTTCTCAACCTTGGCAATTTTAAGCTGTGTGGATTTTAACTCCCAGAATTCCTCAGCAAGCCAAATTCTGTTCACATTCTGGTACATGAAATGTATTGTTTTATTAAAGTTGGAGTATGCTCCAATTTGGGATATGTTGGAGCAAGATCTCCATATTTTAGGGTGTCAGATTTGAAATACTGACCAGCCCACGTTTAGTTTAAAAAATAAATAACCATCAAAAAAAAAAGAATCAAGAGCCTTGACATAGTTCTTGAACACTTGAAATCCAGCAAAATATCACATAATGGCCTGAATATTCTTTAAACCTTATACAAAGTAACGGTATCCATTAATCCATTTTATAATTGCTTACTTGAAAATTTAATTATATTTAACTGAGAATTAAAGAGCTTTTTTACAAACATAATGAATCCAAAACAAAACAAATCTTTCCAGAATGAAATAGACTAGAGATGATTCATTTAGAAGAGAAAGTAGGACAGTTGTTGCACTTGTATTGGAGAAGCTGCAAGACTGATGTGCCCTTGAAGACCAAAAGGAAAAGGAATTTTATTTCATTCTTTTTAAGATTAAAATTAATTACCCGTAATATGCTTATTTTCACATAGGGTGCACATAGGAAGGATTAAAAAAAATCAAGATTTTTTTTTTTTACTTTTTTGACAGGTCATGTACAGTACTTAATATATTTCTTGCTATAACTTTAACATTGTAGTTTGTTAATTGCTTGTATTGACCACTAGGGAGTGATATCTGACTGGTTTCCTCTCATGGATTCGGACTCATGGTTCATAGTTGGTACCATTTGAGTTTGAAGCTCATAGAAAAATCTGTAGCTATGTGTATGTCTGATGGGTCCCAAATAGGTTGACATGCATTGCATATTGCCTCCTGGTGGTCAGTGTAATTTAAAAAACTCATCCAGGATATATTTTTATTTGATTTTTTTTTATCCCACCTTGATTGTTTTATAAATAACTCAGGGGAATGAACATACATAACACTTCTTTCTCCCTCTATTTTCTCTACAATAACAATCCTATGAGGAAAGATGTGCTGAGAGAAAGTGACTAGCCCAATGTCGCACAGCTTATTCCTAAACAGGATTAGAACTCAGTACTGTGTAACAACAGAAAAATATCCTTCACTATTCAATCTTGTAGGATGAGAATCAAAGAGAAGTTATGCAAAGCCTCTTCCATGAGGGCAAGATGTAATGTAACAGCTGCTTCTTTCTGATATGAAGGTGGATTGTATACTGCAGGGGTAGGCAACCCAAAACACTCAAAGAGCCACTTGGACCCGTTTCCCACCAAAAACAAAACACCAGGAGCCGCAAAACCCTTTTGATATCTAAAATGAAGATAACACTGCATATATCCTTTTTTACCTTTATTATAGGTGTGTGTGTGTTTGTGTGTGTGTGTGTGTGTGTATGTATGTATGTGTATGTGTGTATATTAAAAATAAAAGTAAAAATAAAAGTAAAAATATGACATTAAAAATAAAAGTATAAATATGACTCTTGGGAATATCCATACTATTAAAACAATGATCACCAGGAGAATGCTTTAAGAGAATAAAATTACATACACACACAGGTAAAAAAAGGATATATGCAGTGTTATCTTCATTTTAGATGTCAAAAGGGTCTCTCTCTCTCTCTCTGTTTCTCTCTCTCCCTCCCTCTCTATCTGCCCTTGGTCTGCCACTCCTCTT